AAATGAGGAGAACTGGTAAGTGAAGCATGAGTGCTAACTGAATAATGTCATATGTTATTGATGTGTACAGTTTGGGTTTTGTTTGTTTTTGTTGGGTTTTTTTTTTTGAGATGTCATTTATATTCAATGTGATTTTGTTGGTGCATGAGACAAAGGCAAAATTCTAGATATAAATCTGTCCCGTAGTGGGAAATGTTCAATCTCATTCTTGTCCCAATTGCATCAGTTTTACCTAGGTATATCCCGTTTTCTTCAGTAGGTGAAAAAAATAGTAATGAGGAAGCATATTATTTCAAAATATCCATCAGAAATAAGACAATGTAAACGCAGTTTACTGCAGAAACCAGCTTGCATGTGCTGGATAAAACTGGGAAGGAAGGGGCAAAGGGTGAAAGTCCAAAACCAGCTGGTGGTGCTAAGCATAATTTCTAAGACAAGACTCATAGTTTTTAAATCCCCTGGCAATTTGCAACCCATAACTATCTTGGAGGCTCATTTAAACACTTCAGTCATTGGACATTGAAGTTACAGCTATACTATGCTAATAGTAGCCATGACCCAAAGTGGTGTTGACTGACTTCTGTTTATACTGTATGTAAGATGTGGACTGTCCTTCAGTCCCCATACTTTCTGCCTAAAAGCCAAATCCTCTTGTTCTTGCTAAGGTGAATTCCAGATGAGAACTAATGTGTACGCTGTAGGGTTGGACCTGAATAAAAACAGTAGGTGAAGACAGTGTAGACACCTTCTTGTGTACCAGAAGTAACCTTTGAATTATTGGGATTACTGAGCTGTGACCTGAATAATAACTAGGTTGCTAACTTTAAAATAGCAAAATTACAGGCATGAATCTGTGGTGCACATGTGGAGGTGTATCTACAGATATGCAGAAGGTCTGTCAACAACCAAACTACCAGCCAAACAGGCTGGCCATGCTGCAAACTGGTCAAGTGACAACTTCAGTATTGACGAAGGGTGATGTCACCGAACTGGGAAAAAAAAACCACCCTGCTGTCACATCTGGGGTGAGAACTTCCATGGAAATCATACGACCTTTTGCTGTCTTTTTCTCATACATGTATCTTTTATGCATTTCTCAGTACCTTTCTCTTTTCAGATGTACAATGTAGTGAAAATCTCTTCATGTCATCCACCCCCTTCTCGTGGTCAGATATTATTCAGGTCTGGTACAATGAGCAGAAAAATTTCGTATACGGAACTGGAGCAAAACCACCAGGTGCTGTAATTGGCCATTACACTCAGGTAGATGTAACTTTTTTACATTTCAGGCTGAATAAACAAATATCTATGTTAGCTAAGCAACATTTACCCTCTCATTATCTTTAAAGGGAATAAGTACAATAGAGACATGAGAGTTATTCTGACAAAACAAGATGAAAACTTCCAAAGTAACAGAATTAAAATGAAAATAATAGGGTAAGTGTCTTTACAGAGTGAAGTGTAAAGATACTGGCATTTCAAAACTTCAGGAAGAAACAAAGGGAAGAACCTTATTGGTTTGTTTAACGTCTGAAAATTGCTCAGACACTAACATGTGAAAATTGCTCAGACACTGGAAGAATAGGGTTATTAAAGTATCAGGAAGGAAATATAAATAGGCTTGTTGCAGTCTACAGAGTTCCATTGACTCAGAGAGTTTCCAGTTGGACAATGGCTTATGATAACCTCCTCTGTTCACCTGCACAAAACACGGGATACAAAATTTTGCATCATGTTTCCTACATCTTCTTCAACAGTCTTAACTGAATGAAAACATATGTAATTGAGACAGTTTAACTCAAACATTTTACATATATGTGTGATAAATTATTATCATTATATCTTAAATGTTCTCTGGTTCAGGGGTCAAAGCAGGGGAAAAAAGTGTTTTTCCAGCAAGGTGGGACTTATATTTTATTATAAAGGGTAAATAAAGTGACTTAACTTGGTTGCAATGTTTCTGTAATGCATATTGTACTTAAATGATTTTCAAATGTATATTTTTCATTCTCCCATGATTTTTATTCTTATACCTACAGGTCGTCTGGTACAGTTCTAATCAAATTGGATGTGCTGTCGCTTTCTGTCCCAACAGTAAATACAAATACTTTTATGTCTGCCAGTACTGCCCCATGTACGTATTGATACTGATTCTGGAACTTCTTATTACATTATCAAAATTAGTTGGGAGCTGGTGAAATTTGTAATAGGGCACATCACCCCTAGCTGAGGAACAGGTTTGAAGAGTGCATTAGGAATATGAAAAGACAGAAAAATACTCATCAAAAGAATTGTCAAACAAGAAAAAGCATAAAACACATAAAAGTGATGCTGATTTTCAGATTAAATTTCATTTGCCTAAAAATACTAATTTTCATAATACTAAATATGAAACACATTCTACTTGAAATCTTTGTTCAGAAAGGGGTATATGTACAGTACAGTGAAGACTACAATTAATACCAAAAACTTTAGTGGGAATTTTAAGGCAGAGTGATGATTTCATAAACTGTGTAAAATTAATTTTCACATTCACATTGTAATACATTGCAGAGGGTTGACCTTGGCTGACCATCAATAGCCCACCAAGCTGCTTTATCACTCTCCCTCCTCAACAGGACGGGGGGAGAAAATATATGACAAAAAGCTTGTGGTTCAAGATAAGGACAGGGAGATCCCTCACCAGCTACCATCACAGGCAAAACAGACTAAAGTGGGGAAATTAACTTAATTTATTGCCAGTCAAACAGAGTAGGATAATGAGAAATAAAAACAAATCTAAAAACACCTTCTGCCCACCCCTCCCTTCTTCCCAAGCTCAACTTCACTCCTGATTTTTCTACCTCCTCCCCCGCAGTGGTGCAGGGGGATGGGAATCAGGGTTGCAGTCAGTTCATGACATGTTGTCTCTGCCTCTCCTTCCTCCTCACTCTCTTCTCCTGCTCCAGCATGGGGTCCCACCCATGGGAGACAGTCCTTAACAAACCTCTCTAATGTGGGTCCTTCCCACTAGCTGCAGTTCTTCACAAACTGGTCTAGCATGGGGCTTTTCCATGGGGTGCAGTCCTTCAGGAGCAGATTGCTCTGGCATGGGGTCCTCCACAGGCTGCAGGTGGATATCTGCTCCACCGTGGACCTCTACAGGGTGCAGGAGGACAACCTGCTTCACCATGGTCTTCGCCACAGACTGCAGGGGAATCTGACCTTCGTGACTGCAGAGTTTTTTTCTCTCACATATTCTCACTGCTCTCTTCTGGTTGCTGTTGCACAGCAGTTTTTATCCTTTCTTAAACATTTTATCACAGAAGTGTTGTCACTGTCAATGATTGGCTCAGCTTTGGGCAGCAGTGGGTCCAACTTGGAGCCAGCTGGCACTGTGTCTGAAATAGGGGCAGCTTATGGTGTCTTCTCACAGATGCCACCCCTGCGAATTCCCCCCCTGCCCCACTACCAAAACCTTTCCAGATAAACCCAACACACATATAAAAACTGTTTGACATATAACCAAAGACTGAATGTAAATTAATATATGTATGCATCCGTATAATTAAGTTTTATTCTCAGATATGTTATAGTGACTTTATAGCTTATGTTGGTAATGTTGATATTTCAGGGGGAATATACTAAGTTCAATTCGGACACCCTACAAAAAAGGAAAACCCTGTGGTGATTGCCCTAATGCTTGTGAGAATGGATTATGCAGTAAGTTTTAAGCATTTTTATTGTGACTCAGGTAGTCGATGCTTTAAAAAAATCCCAATTAATTTATGCAAATGGAGAGTTTTTGACATTATTTGTTCAAATACCAGGCCAAAAGCACTATTACAGAACCATATTTCATCATGCCAGGTGCTTTACCTAGGTGGAATGAGCTGTGGAGTGAAACCAAAGAAGGAGGAGTCTATGATAAGGGTGGGCAAATGTTAGACAGTAGTTGGTATACATCGGGAAGCAGATACCCTCCACTTCATGGATCAAGATATTCATATGGCCTAGATACCTTCATTAAAGATGACAATGTCTGGGTCTCTATGGAAACTCTCATGAATACTTCCTAGTGTAAGAAGATGCATTGACTGCAGTGAGGTCAAAGATGTGTTTATACCAATGGTAGCACAGAAATCTCAGCTCCAGATTTCCAGCTGCAATTTATATGCTTTTCCATACCCAGGAGAGGCAATTCTCATCCTTGAATCTAGGAAATGCCAGGGAAGGAGGGGACTTCTTTATCTTTTTTTCTTCTTCCTCCTCTGAACAATAGTGGCTGATCAGGTAGCAGTAACAACACACTTGATAAGAGCAAGTAGCAAATCTGAGTTTTAAGAATTCTAACAGAAAATAAACATATATGGGCTGAGTCTTGTAATGCAAAATTTAACTTCAAGTCTAACTTCTGTTACATAATTAACCTAATTCTCATCATGAGCCATAGTATAAATGTAGAAATCTTCAAAACAACTTGCAAGTTCAGTGAGACACTGCCTTGAAAGAGCTAAGAATTTTGTATGTGTGGTCAAAGGTTTTGGATGCTGCTGTGGAGTAAATGGCAACAAAGAGAAAAAAATAAAGAGAAAAGAAATACTGATGAAAAATTATTCTGAAAGGAAATGCTGCAGGTTCTCATTCCACCATTTATGATTAATTTTGTGTTTCAATGCATTTTCAGCCAAGCTTTGAAAGTTTGAAGATGTTTATTCCAGCTGCCTTGGAAAAGTCTCCTGGACTACCCATAGCTTCTTCAAGTTCACTGCCCTGCTACCTGCCAATGCAAAACTGAAATAAAATGACAGGATCAACTTTTCCTTTCCTGGACATCCATCTCTTTAGGGACTTCTTTCACAAAAACAGATTCCATCCTGCCTCTCCCACATATGCAGAAGGACTAACTTCAGTCCGGTGACTCACACAAGAAAAAGCTGTAGGAGAATGTATATTTCTATTTGTATAATGGTCTAGAACATAGTGGAGATCTTAATTGAAATTTGGTGTTTGGGTACCAGATATATTAAATGGTTAGCTTCTCACATCTTTCTTTTCCCAAAATGTTATCTAAGGAGCATTGTTTAAAGTTCTGTGGTTCCATATGTTTCATATGTTCTTAGTATAAATGGATAGTCCTTGGTCATAAGTCTTAACTTGACCAACATTTTGAACTATTGTACTGTTAATAGGACCAGAAGATAAACAGGATTACCTGAAATATGTAGTTCTGAAAAGGAATTAAGAGAGCAGTGCAGTTTCCACTAGAACTATTCTGGTTTAGACTCAGTATCTTTTGCTGACATACATTCTACTGTAGAATGCTCAGTTGTATTTAAACATAAAAAAAAAAAAAAGTGTATTTCATTTAAATTAATGATCCTGCTTATAGTACAAGATTGCACTTAGCATAAGTAAACGTAACCAAACCTGCCCTCTAATGGAAGAGAACTGTCTGAGAAAAGGCCTTAATTCACAGAAATAGATAGCCAAGGGGAAAGGTCCCTGAATTTGGAAACTTTGATTTTAATAACAAGTAATGGTGTGTTCCAAAGTTATTTTTTTAATATCTGCTTTTGCTCTATCTATCATTAAATTACTCATTCTTCACTGACCAATTCATTGTAATTTTCCTTCTTTCTTATTACCGTGAAATACAGTTCACTTAACTTCCACCAACTTTGTGACTTTATCAGTATTAGGTCTTGAAGGGAGCCTGATTCTTTACCAGCATAAGCAGAAACAGTTCATGTGAGAAACTGAAGATTTCCTAGGCAAAATTATAAGTCAGGCAAGCAACTTTCCTTCAGACTCTCTTTCAGAGAGAATGACCATTCACATAAATAACATGCAATCCTCATTTCTAAGTGACCTTTGGGAAGCAAGTGCTCTTCTGTGCCGTCAACCGCGGGACTAAATATTATTTTAGTCTCACCTTACAATGGTTTCACATTCCAGTCCTCTTTTAGTAAGAAAACTGCTGTCATAACTAAGATTCCAAGTCCCAGATCCTTTGGCACAGAATAATTTTAGCACACACTTCTGACTCATTCATTTCACTAGCAATTTCAGCACACATTTCTGACTCATTCATTTCAGAGGCATTTCTTCATGTATGAAAGATGAGCATTAAGTTAAAAGCCTGGTTTCACAATTTCAACACTGTCTTGGTTTAACCCCAGCCAGCAACTAAGCTCCACATAGTCCCTTGCTCACTCCCCCCCAGTGGGATGAGGGAGAGAACTGGAAGGGTAAAAGTGAGAAAACTCATGGGTTGAGATAAAGACAGTTTAATAGGTAAAGCAAAAGCTGCACATGCAAGCAAAGTAAAACAAGGAATTCATTCACTACCTCCCATCGGCAGGCAGGTGTTCACCCATCCGCAGGAAAGCAGGGCTCCATCACACGTAACAGTTACTTGGGAAGACAAACGCCATCACACCGAACCACCC